GGGCGTCCTGGCTGCAGGGAGTCGCTCGGGCGCGTTGGGGGCTCCGAGCGGTCACGGCGCTCGTGCGGTGACAGCTCCGCGCGGGGCCCCGCGGCGGCCGACCCGAGGGCGTGTGGACGGAGTCTGCCTGGTGCTGAGTCCCCGAGCGTGTCCTGAGGTTTAAGGGCTGCGGTTTCTGCCCCGGGCGGTGGGACGAACCCGCACGGGTCTTGCGTCTGTCTGAGGCCTGGCTCCGCAGCTGGGGGAGCTGAGCCCAAGCCTGGCCGCTGGCACCGACGTGTTGCACCTTGACGTTTCCCTTACGCCCTTCACGACCAAATCTCAACCCCACGACTAGTTTCGAAATCTCCTTTGACACCCGACTTCACTCCTTGTCATCGAGCCCTCAGAAATGAAAGTTCCTGGCGACATCAGAGATCAAGCATGATCGCAAGTGGTCTATTTAATGTTTAAAATACAGCTTTTACTCTTTGCAGCATGTTCCTCTCGGATATTTCCTTCCAGGTTCTTCCCACACAAATAAAATAACATCTCTGTCATGATCAAGTCTGCTATTCTAAGATAACCCTTGTCAAAATTTTAAGATTATGTGTTATGGGCTTATATTCACAAATCAGATAAACTGCGTAAGTAGTACTACAATTTTATTTTCACTTAATTTCGTATAATAAACATTTGCAGTTTATTTTGAATACTTGAACTGGTGGTGTTATGTGTGGATTCACATGAAGTGAATATATACATTTGTAGAAGTGAATCACTTAAAATTATTTAGGTAGGGGGCCGGCAGAGGGCACAGTGGTTACATCAATGGACTCCCACATAGACAGCCACAGTTTGAGTCCCAGACCCCTTGGCTTGAAAATCAGGCCGGGTGTGTGTGCATGTATGTCCAAGATCCTGGGAGGAGTCTGGAGGAGGGATTGCAGCATGACCATCCCCCTCAGTGGGGGATTTCTCACTTTCTCTCTCACCATTTCTGTCTCTGGCAAGTGTATGTACCCTAAGGCAAAAACTTCTAAAAAAATTATTTAGGGGCACCAGCAGATGGCGTAATGGTTATGTTGCTGGACTCCCACGTAATTGACCGTGGTTCAAGTCCCAGACCCGGTGGCTTAAACTCACTCCAGGCACATATGCATGTATGCCCAAGACCCCGAGAAGAGAATAGAGGAGAAGTGAGTGTGGTGGGGGTGATTTCTCGCTTTCTGTCTCTTTGTCTCCTCTGTCTTTCCAGCAAGCGCACATGCCCTATAGCAAAAACCTCTGAAAAAAAAAATTATTTAGGTATTGGACCAGCAGGTGACGTGGAGGTTAAGGCACTGGATCCCACATAGTTGAGTCTTAGACTCTGGGGATTGAAAAATCACACTGGGTACTGTGCATGTGCATCCAAAATCCCAAGAGAAGACTGGAGGAGACAGGATTGTGGTGTGGCCATTCCCTCTGGAAGGTGATTTCTCACCCCACCCCACCCCTTGTCTCTCTCTGGCAAGCACACATGTTCTATAGTATACACACACACGCACACGCACACCTCCAGCTAGTGGCATGGTGGTTAAGATGACTGAATTCCACATATCTGATGGTGCAGACCAAGTCCTGGACCATTGGCTAGAAAAACACTTGAAAAGAGGGAGAAATAGAGGAGGGATTACGGTGTGACTGTACCCCCATGGGGTGAGCTGCTTTCTCATTACTCCCCCAGCTCCACCCCATATCCAGTGAGCTCAGGTGTCCTCTGGAAAATTAAATACACACACATTAATGTATAATATATGGGTCAGCCTCACAGAATGTTGTGTTTCGACTACTCTCACCATCCAGTTCCCAGCCATCCTTCTAATGTATACACTGTTGTGGGTTTATTTATTTATTTATTTTGGTAGATTTTTGTCATAGGGTTTATGAATTCACTGGAGAGAGACAAAGACGGGGGGATGACTACACCATAATCCCTTTTCCTCTGTTCTCCTCATTCTCCTCTTGAGATTTGGGCATGTATACACACAGGCCTAGTATGATTTTCAGGCCTCTAGGTCCAGGACTCGAACTGTGCTAGACCATGTGGGAATCCAGTGGCTTAAGCACACCACCACCTGCTAGCCTCTATTATGTCATATTTTAACTCTTTATGATTTAATTTCTCCTGAGTTATTAATATCAATATTATTTCTCTAGTAAGTACTAATATATGTGTAACCTCTTACCAGGTTTGTTCCACTTCACCCCTTTCTGCACCTCTGTTTACACTGAAGGCACCTTTCCCTTTGCTTGAAGAATACTCATTAGAATTTGCTATAATGGTGGTTTTCTGATAAAACTTCTCTCCAGTTTGCCTGAAGATGTCATTATTTCACTTTTATTCTTCAAGGATATTTTTACCAAATATTCTTTACAGGTTTATACTTATACTACTTTACAAAGTATCAAGAAGTTGATGGTAATGAAGACTTAAGGATGGTTATTATTTGCTTAAGATGATCTCAGATTCTAGTGTATGCTCTCTACAATGTAAAAAGACTTTTGAGGGGACCAGCAGATGGTGTGGTGGTTAAGGTGCTAGACATTCCCACATGGCCAACCACAGTTTCAGTCCTGGACCTGGTGGCTTGCTTTCTCACTTTCTTTCTCTCTCTCTCTGTCTCTTTCTGGTCAAATTAAAATAAATGAATGAATAAATAAAATTAAATAATTTTAAAAAAATTTAAAAGACTTAAAGACAGTTTAAAAGAAAAAGTATGAGAGCCAGTTTAAAAGAAAAAGTGTGGCATGGTGTTAAGGTGCTGGACTCCATCCTTGCCAACTGCAGTTCAAGACCCAGACCTGGCAGCTCAAAAATCACACCAGGCATGTATGCATGTGTGCCCTAAATCCTAAGAGAATAATGGAGAAGGGATTGTGACATGGCCATCCTCCCTGGGGGGTGATTTCTCACTTTCCCTCTCACTGTCTCTGGCGAGTGCATGCATCCTAAGGCAGAAAAACTTAAGACAGATTAGGAAAAAAAGAAAAAGAAAGAAAGAGAGAGAGAGGGAGGGAGGGAGGAAGTGTGTACAGCCTGTCTGCATGCCCTCTTTCCTAAAATCAGATGCCCAAAGAGTCCCTTTCCGGGTATCATGTCATGCTGGTTCTCTCCCACACCCCCTTTTACTTACTAATAGTAGTCGTACTTCTTCAGCTTTATAGAATAAAGGTGTAACTCCCAAATCCTCAGGATGTTGTTTTACTTCCCCAGATACAAAAGCTTCTGGAACCCTAAGGGGGCCTTAATTTAAGGTGAGTGTACAGTCACAGTGACAATATCTGGGCCTAAAGAGAATTACCACTCACAGTACTTTGCTCTTCAGCATACAGGGGCCAAATCACATGAAGGAAGGAGGAGAAGATGACAAAACCTGTGTATTGCCATTACCGGAAATAGACTGGAGACTTGAGTTTCGTGCAGAAATTTAGAGCTGACCCAGAAGAGACAAAGGAGAGCATCAGCTCTTTTTCAAATTCAGAAGAAAATGATACGGGCTCAGGTGACTTCAGATTTGTTTTATTCTTTTTTTGTTTTAACTTTATCTCATCAGTGAGAGAGAAAAAGAGAGAGAGAGAGAGAAAGCATCCTCAAGTCCTTAACATCCTGATTTACCCTTGGCTTCAGCCAGGCAAGATCATGGGCACACACCAGCTCAGTATACACAAGGAGGTCACTGATGCAAACCAGTGTCTTTCCCATGTGGGTTTGTTACACAGTGTCACATTTCACTTCTGTGCCACTGTCCAGCCTGTTTTAGTTTATTTATTTCCCAGTAGGTTTGTAAAGGGTTGTAAATCAATGCAATTAAAAAGAAGAGTATAAATTCAGAATAGTAGGATCTAATCAGGTACATGATACTCATACAATTCATACTGCGTGGCACATGTTGGAGTATACTATAGACTTTGCAGAACCCTGGGGGTTATGGTAGCTGTCAGCTTGTGTCTATACAAGAGAATCATGATAAGTTATAGCAACTGGGAAAAACTGACCAGTTTCTCAAGGGATGCTAACATTTTATGGCACATAGGTCTGAGACTCACAAAGGTTTTTGATGATTCTCCATAGAGGTGAGATGCTAAGGGGTATTCTACAGCTGCTTCTTCATTGTATCTAATAAGGTATTCACTCTGTCTAATAATGGATGAACATACATATGTGTTTGTATACCTATGTATCTATATGAGTTTTGTTTGTTTGATTTTTTTTTTTTTTTTTGCCATAGGGCTTATGTGCATGCCAGAGACAGGGCTAGTGAGAAATCATCCCCTCAAGAGATGGCCACACTACAGTCTCTCCTCCATTCTTCTGGGATTCTGAGCACAAACACACCCACATTCCTGGCATGATTTTCAAGTCGCCAGGTCTGGGATTTAATCTGTGGTAGGCCACATGGGAGTCCAACACTTTAACCACCACTCCACTTGCGCCCCTATATGTGTATTTTTAAGACTTTTTCTTCTAGGACCAGTAGTTGGCGTAATGGTTATGTCATTGGACTCTCATTTAGTCGACCAGGGTTCGAGTCCCAAACCCGGTGGCTTAAACTCACACTGGGTGCATATGTGTGCATGCCCAAGATCTTGAGAGGAGACTGGAGAAGAGATTGCAGCATGGCCTTCCCCCTAGGGGGGGTGATTTCTCGCTTTCTGTCTCTCTGGTAAATGCACACGCCCTATAGCAAAAATCTCTCTCAAAAAAAATTTTTTTTTCCAAATTTGGTTAATCATCTCATAATCTCTTATGCTTTATATATATTTTGTGCAATTTTCTTTCATTTTGTTCATTATATTAATCACAGTTATTTAGTCTATATTACCTTATGATAAAGAGATCCGTGGTCTCTTTATTACCAATTTCAACATTGGCTTAAAAGCTCTTATTGAATTTGGGAATCTGTTTTAGCCATCGGTTTATAGCTACCATACATTTTGGTGTTAGCAAACATTTTTATATTACAGATGTTCTTACATTAACAAGAGGATTTCACGGTACATATAGAAATTTGAACTTTAAACTTTGGTGAATGAATGAATGACTACAGTTATAGAATATTTTGCTAGGATTTTTATTCTTTTGTTTTTGTTTTTCTGAGGGAGAGTTGGTTTTTGGATTTGTTTTGGTTTTGGTTTGCTTTAGGGCACATAGACTCACTGGAGAGAAACAAAGAATGAAGGAAAATGAGAAATCACCCCTCAGAAGGGATGGCCACACCACAATCCTTTCTATTCCATTCTCCTCTCAGGATTTTGGGTACATATGCACACATACTCTGTTCATTTTTCAAGCTGTGGCATCTGGGACTTGAACCACTCAGTCGGCCACATTGCATTCAGCTCCTTAACTTCCATGCCACCTCCTAGCCCACTAGGATTCTAATTCTATCACACTATAGTAAGAAAAACCACAGGGCTAGCAGGTAGTGTAGTAAAGACATATGGCCGACCATGGTTTGACTCCCAGGTTGGGAGACATGAACATCACGTCAGGCACATATGCGTGCATGCCCAAAATCCCAGGAGGAAAGGGGATTGCAGTGTGGCCATACCCTTAGGGGGTGATTTCTCATTTTCTCTCTCACTGTCTTTGTCTCACTGTCTGGTGAATGCATATACCTTATGGCCAAAAAAAAAGAAAAGAAGAATAGTAATACCACCATACAGGTCCTATAACTCTGGTGAAGGGAGCTGGATTCAACATGGATGAATATAGTTCAAGTCCTAGCCCTAATGGTTTGAAAATCATGCTGAGCACATATGCATGTACACCAAATTCTGACAGGATGAAGAAATTGAGGAGAAAGGATTGTGGCATGGCTATGCCTCTGGGGAGTGATTTCTCACTTTCTCTCTCTGTCCCTCTCTGTTCAAATTAAAATAAATAAATACATAAACAAGTTCAATAAAATAATCCTTAAAAAAGTAAAAAATAAAAAAAGGATTGTGGCATGGCTATGCCTCTTGGAAGGTCCTTTCTCTGTTTCTGTCTCTGTCCTCTCTGTCTCTCTGTCTCTCTCTCTCACAAGTACATATCCCTCTGGTAATGGAGAAAACAGAAAAAGGAAAACCCACCAATTTCCTATATGGCAAAAATGAGCATAATAATTTCACATTCTTTCCATGTCACCAAAATAATAACTTCATTAAATAGGATCCTATCATTCTAGGAATTAGTGACACTGGAAGATGTGGTAGTGGAGTTCACCTGGGGAGAGTGGCAGCTCCTGGGCCCTGCTCAAAAGGACCTGTACCAGGATGTGATGCTGGAGAACTACAGCAACCTGGTGTCATTGGGTAAGTACAGCTGCCTTGTGTCACTTGGATGGTGCCTAATCAGTGGCTTCTCCTTTCTCAGCTGCTTAACTCATTGGAATACCTGCAGTACCCTGGAGTAGTAAATTCTCAGATCATTCTCTTGCCCCACATAAGAAATTATAATCTACCTTCTCCTGAGAGAAAAGTCTTGACACGACAGATGTGAAATCTGTTTAATCCCTAAAATGTTACATTCTCCTTTACATACCCCAGCCTGATTCAATGGGTCTAAGTTTTCTATAATTTCATATGAACAGGGTATCAAGCCAGCAAACCAGATGCAATCTCTAAGTTGGAACAAGGAGAAGAACCTTGGACAGTAGAAGATGAAATGCACTGTCAGATCTGTCCAGGTGAGTGAAAGAATCAGCAAAGTGAGCAGCCACGGATTCAGATTTTGCTCACTTGCAGCAGACATACAGCTGTGAGGGTGTCTGAGGACACAGAGATGGTCTCTCCAGGTCTTCTGCTCCCCATGAGAAAGTTTTTTTCTTTGTAGGGATGCAGAGGGAAATATACTCTTTTTGTCCCTGGAAGTTTCATTATTTTATTGGGTTATTGGAAAAGTCATGATGCATTTTTGCATAGAAAAATACATCATGGCTTCTCCGACAACCCAATATATATAAGAGGATTTTAGAAAGTTTCTTTAGAAGTAAAATTAAAATATGAGTTTATTTTGGTGCAAAAAATTTTGATATCTATATATAGTCATTTTCATAATACATGAGTGTGTGTGTGTGTATATATATATATATATTTTTTTTTTTTTTAAGATTTTTGCCATAGGGCGTGTGTTTGCTGGAGACAGAAGGAAAGTAAGAAATCATTCCCCAGGGAGTATGGCCACGCCACAATCGCCCCCTTTCTCCATTCTCCTGAAATTTTGGGCATGCACGCACACGCTCCTGGTGTGAATTTCAAACTACCAGATTCAGGACTCAAACTGCAGTTGACCATGTAGGAATTCAGTTCCTTCAACACTATGCCACCTGCTGTCCTCTCTCATTATTGTTATTTTTTTAAAGAATTATATTATTTATCTTTATTTATCCATTTATTTTATTTTAATTTAACCAGAGAAGGATAGAGTGAGAGACAGAGAAAGTGAGAAAGCAAGCCACCAGGTCTGGAACTTGAACCACGGTCAACCATGTGGGAGTCCAGTGCCCTTAACCACCATGCCACCTGCCAGCCCCATCTCTCTCTCATTGTATATATTTTTTTTTTAAGAATTATTTTATTTAGCTTTACTTATTTCTTCATTTATTTTAATTCGACCAGAGAGGAGGAGAGAGAGAGAGAGAGAAAGCAAGCCGCCAGATCCAGGACTCAAACTGCAGTCAGCCATGTGGGTGTCCAGCACCCCTGGGGGGGTGATTTCTTGCTTTCTGTCTCTCTGTCTCTGTCTTTCTTGCTAGCCACATGCCCTTTAGCAAAAACGTCTCAAAAAAAAAAAAAGAAGAAACCTAATATTTCCTACAACACTAAATAAAATGGTACTCAAAAAAAAAAAAAAAAAAGAATGAAAACTTAATTATTCTCTTTTAAAAAGAATTATTAGAGGGACCTGGAGGGACCAGGAGATGGTGTAATGGTTGATCGCTGGACTCCCATGTAGTTGACTAATCGACTGCGGTTCAATTCCCAAACTCAGCAGCTTAAATTCACGCTGAGCAAGTGTGAGTGTGTGCCCAACATCTCAAGAGAAGAACAGAGGAGAAGGGATTGTGGCATGGCTATCCCCCTGGGGGTGATTTCTTGCTTTCAATCTCTTCTGTCTCTCCAGTGAACACATGTGCCCTATAGCAAAAATATCTCTCTTTAAAAAAAAAAAAAAAAAAGCTGGGACCTGCAGGTGGTATGGTGGTTAAGGGTGCTGGACACCCACATGATCAGCTACAGTTCAAGTTCTCGTGTGTGAATGCATGTGCTCTGTCCCACTCTAGTCAAAAATTAAAATAAATAAAGTTAAATTTTTAAAAATTATTTATTTAACTTTATTATATATTACTTTAATTTATTTAACTTTATTACTTTTAAAGAATTATTCATTTCATGGGCGCGTGTGTGTGCGTGCCCAAGATCCCGAGAGGAGAATGGAGGAGAAGGGATTGCGGCGTGGCCATCCCCCCTGGGGGGTGATTTCTCGCTTTCTGTCTCTCTGTCTCTGTCTGTCTGGTGAGCGCACGCGCCCTATAGCAAAAAAAAACCCTCCCATAAAAAAAAAAAAAGAATTATTTATTTCATTTATTATCATTACTGTTTTAATTTGACAGAGAGAGACAGGGAAAGTGAGAAAGCAAGCTGCCAAGTTGGGGACTTGATTCGCGATCTGCCATGTGGGAGTTCAGCAACTTAACTTCCTTGTCCCCTTCCAGCCCCTATTATTATTATTTTTTAAAATTAGCTATAGAGCACATGTGTTCACCAGAGAGTTAGAAAGAGAAAGCGGGAAAGTGAGAAACCAAGCCACCAGGTCCAGGACGTGAACTATGGTTTACCATGTGGAAGTTTGGCATGGTAAGAGCACCATGCCATGGTAAGGCCCAATTGATTATCGTATTCTAGTGAGATCTGGTCTCAACTGTGTTACACGAGATTATGGTTCTTCCACTGATCTCTGTGATATGATATCATCTTTTTTTTTTTTTTGGAGAGGTTTTTTTGCTATAGGGCGCATGCGCTCGCCAGACAGAGACAGAGAGACAGAAAGCGAGAAATCACCCCCCAGGGGGGATGGTCACACCGCAATCCATTCTCCTCCATTCTCCTCTCAGGATCATGGGCACGCACACACATGCGCCCAGTGTGAGTTTTAAGCCACTGGGTCCGGGACACGAACCGCGGTCGACTACGTGGGAGTCCAGCAACATAGCCATTACGCTAACTGCTGGTTCCCATATGATATCATCTTGATTGTAAAAAGTTTGTGCTCAGGGACCAGCAGATGGTGTAATGGTTACGTTGCTGGACTCCCACGTAGTTGACCGCGGTTCAGGTCCCGGACCCAGAAGCTTAGGACACATGCTGGGCATGTGTGCATGTGTGCCCAAGATCCCAAGAGAAAATAGAGGAAAAGGGATTGCGGTGTGGCCACACCCCTAGGGAGTGACTTCTCACTTTCTGTCTCTTTCTCTGTGTCTCTGGTAAGCATACATGCTGGACAGCAGAAATCTCTCCAAAAAAAAAAGTTTGTGCTCAGGGCCAGTTGAGAAAATATTGAGTTGTCCAAAAAGATGTGACGCATTTTTGCAACAGATGGTAGTAGTTTGTTTTTGGAAGTACGAGAGTCATTCACATCTGTTATTGCTATGCCATTTGACAACTGACAGTTCTAGCTTCATTCTAAAAAAAGAAAGAAGCGATTTGGTTGAGTTTTAGAGATTTTACAAGTTGAAAATAGAAAACCAAGTTATACATTTTCACCATCATGTACTGTTTTACTTCCGTAAAGGGAAGAAGGTGCGTCAGGCTAGTGAAAAGTTGCCTAAAGTTTACAGTGACAATGTCCTACAAGAATGTCAGTGCCAGTGATGCCAGTGATGGTTGATGAAATTGTGTGCTGATGATTTTGAGCTCAATGACGCTTCTTGGTCAGAGAGGCCCACCAACATTGGTAACAACAAAATTAAGGCATTGATCAAGTCACATCCACATTACATGATACGAGATATTGCAGGAACATTGAACAGCCGTTATTCAAGTGTTCACGACCACCTGAAAAAGCTTGGATATGTAGGGAAGCTCGATATTTGTGTTCCTCGTGAACTTCAAGGAAGTTGATTTGGAGGCTGGCAGGTGGCAGGGTGATCAAGGATGCTGGACTCCCCTGTGGCTGACTGCAATTTGAGTCCCAGACCAATTCTTTTAAAAAATAGTTTATCTGACAGCACATATAAACATCTGTAATATGCTCATTAAACGTGAGGAAAATGATCCTTTTTTTGAAGTGACTGATAATTGATGATAAGTGGATCATTTACAACAATGTGGGGTGCAAATGATCTTGGTCCTGACATGATTTGCCTCAAACGATGTGGAAAGCAGACATTCATCAGAGGAAGATTATACTGTCAGTGTGGAGGGATTTTAAAGGTGTCGTGTTTTTCGAGCTCCAATCAAGGAGCCAAACAATCAATTCAAATGTGTACTGTTGGCAGTTGGACAGTTTGAACAAATCCATCATCCATAACATCCAGAGCTCATTAATCATAAAGGAGTTGTGTTCCATTACAACAACAGAAGACCACACACCAGTATGATCACCCGTCAACTCACTGGAGCTTGGATAGGATGTATTGCCATACCCATATTTGCCTCACCTTGCACAGTCAGACTTCCAATTGTTTCACTCTCTTCAAAACTCCTTCATGGTATAATGTTCAATTTAGATGAGGTTGTAAATCAGCACCTTGTTCAGTTCTTTGGCTGATAAAGATAGGTCCTTCTATGAATGAAGAATTATGAAGTTCACTGAAAGATGGCAAGAGGTTATTGAACGACATGGGCATTATATTATTGGGTGATCTTTGTTCTTTTATTTATTTATTTATTTATTTATTTATGTATTTATTTATTTATTTATTTATTTATTTATCTATCTATCTATCTATCTATCTTTTGAGAGAGTTGTTTTTCCTGTAGGGTGCATGCACTTACGAGAGGGGGGGGGAGAGGAGGAGACAGACAGACAGATAGTGAGAAGTCACCCCCCAGGGGGGATGGCCTTGCCGCAGTCTCTTCTCCATTCTCTTCTTGGGAACTTGGGCATGCACGCACATGTGCCTGGCATGAATCTTAAGCCACTGGGTCCGGGGCTCATACTGTGGTCAACTACATGGGAGTCCAGGGACGTAACCACTACACAACCTGCTGGCCTAGATCTTTGCTCTTTATATAAATAAATGACCTTTGAAAAACATAGAAAAAAATATGTCATGACTTTTCTGACAACCCAGTAGTAGGGAGTTTTCGGTAGACAAGTGGCATAATAAACTAATTTTTTTTTTCAAGAGGTTTTCGCTATAGGGCGCATGTGCTCGCCAGACAGAGACATAGAGACAGAAAGCGAGAAATCACCCTCCAGGGGGGATGGTCACGCCACAATCCCTTCTCTTCCATTCTCCTCTCGGGATCTTGGGCATGCACACGCACGCACCCGGTGTGAGTTTAAGCCACCAGGTCCGGGACTTGAACCACGGTCGACTACGTGGGAGGCCAGCGACATAGCCATTATGCTAACTGCTGGTCCTTCATGGTTAGTTTTTTATTTTTTTTTGGAGAGATTTTCACTGTAGGGCGCGTGCGCTCGCCAGACAGACAGAGAGAGACATGGAGACAGAAAGCGAGAAATCACCCCCCAGGGGGGATGGTCACGCCGCAATCCCTTCTCCTCCATTCTCCTCTCGGGATCTTGGGCACGCACGCACACGCACCTGGCGTGAGTTTTAAGCCACCGGGTCCGGGACACGAACCGTGGTCGACTACGTGGGAGTCCAGCGACATAGCCATTACGTTAACTGCTGGTTCCCCCTCATGGTTAGTTTTTGACAGTGAAAAGATACAAATGAAAATCAACAAAGATGGTCTAACCTTCATGTCACCTGGACTGCAGAGTTGGAAGCTATTATGCATGCTGATTGTGGTTTGAGTTCCTGGCCCAGAGGGCCTGAAAATGTGGCTGGCTAATATATATGTGACCAGAATCCTGGTGGGCTGGAGGACTGGGAGAAGAGGATCACAGCATGACCAGACATGGTGAAGGTGCTTCTCCCACTCCGTCATATGCATATACACACTTTATCATGAATTTAAGTCTCAATCTCTCTTTTGGAGAGATTTTTGTTGCAGGGTGCATGCTCTTGCCAGAGAGACAGAGACAGAAAGTGAGAAATCACACACACACACACACACCCTGGGGATGACCATGCCACAATCCCTTCTCCATTTTCCTTTTGGGGTCTTGGGCACATACACACCCACACCCAGCATGTATTTTAAACCACCAGGTCCAGTACTCAAACCACAGTCAATCATGTGTTAATCATCTCTCTCTCTATATATATATATTTTTTTTTTGAATAATTATTTAACTTTTACTTACTACTTATTTTCCTATGAGGTACATGTAATCACTGCAGGGGGGTGAGGTAGAAAGTGAGAAAGCAAGCTACCAGGTCCAGGACTAGAACTGTGGTCAGCCATGTGGAAGTCCAACGGCTTAACCACCATGCCAACTGCTGGCCCCTCTCTCTTTTTTCTTTCTTTTTTTTTTTTTGTTTGTTTGTTTTTTTGTTTTTTGAGAGGTTTTTGTTATAGGGCGTGTGAGCTCGCCAGAAAGACAGAGAGAGACAGAGAGATAGAAAGCGAGAAATCACCCCCCAGGGGGGATGGCCACACCACAATCCCTTCTCCTCCATTCTCCTCTTGGGATCTTGGGCACGCATGCACACGCGCCCGGCGTGAGTTTAAGCCGCTGAGTCCGGGACTTGAACCACAGTCGACTACATGGGAGTCCAGCAACATAGCCATTACGCTAACTGCTGGTCCCTCTTTTTTTTTTTTAAAGAAGAATTTTATTTAACTTTAAGTATTTACTTATTTTAAAGTTTGACCAGAGAGGGGTCAGCAGTTGGCATAATGGCTATGTCACTGGACTCCCATGTAGTCAACCATGGTTCAAGTCCCGGACCATGTGGCTTAAACTCATGCCAGGCACGTGTGCATGCATGCCCAAGATCCCAAAAGGAGAATGGAGGAGAAAGGATTGTGGTATGGCCATCCCCCCTGGGGGGTGATTTCTCGTTTTTGTCTCTCTGTCTTTCTGGCAAGGGCATGCACCCTCTAGCAAAAATCTCTCCAAAAAAAAAAAGAAAAAAATATTTTTGACCAGAGAGGAACAGAGCAAGAGAGGGAAAGTGAGAAAGCAAGCTGCCAGGTCTGGGACTCAAATCACGGTCAGCCATGTGGGAGTCCATTGCCCTTAATCACCATGTCACCTGCTGGCCCCTCCCTATATATTTTTACCATCAAAAATAGAAGGTGCATAGAGACGAATCCAGGAGAAAGTAGGTGTAAGCTTCCAATTGTCCTCTACTAGTAGAGTTACATAAATAGTGATGAATTTTCTGAGCAATTATATTTGACATGTATGAATTGTTGCCAGCCAAAGAAGCTCACCAAAGGGACCAGCAGATGGCGTAAATGTTACATTGCTGGACTCCCACATAGTCGACTGCAGTTTGAGTCCTGGACCCAGTGGCTTAAGACTCATGTTGGGCATGTGTGTACATGCCCAAAATTCTGAGAGAACAATGAAAAACTGGGATGATGTTGTGATCATCTCCCCAGGGAGGGTGATTTCTCGCTTTCTGTCTGTCTCTCCAGCAAACGCACGTGCCCTATAGCAAAAATCTATTTAGGAAAAAAAAAAAAAAAAAAAAGGCAGCAGCAGCTCACCAAAGCCTGGTATCTCTCTGTACCCTCCCTAAGTCAAATGGTATAGTGTGGTCCAAAGCCTCAGGCAAATATGTGCCCACCATAAATCAAATTGCTAGCATAAACTATCTGGTATAAAAAGACATTCTTAGGACCAGCAGATGATGTAGTGGCTATGTTGCTGGACTCCCACGTAGTCGACCACGGTTGAAGTTCTGGACCCAGCGGCTTAAAACTCACACCAGGCGCGTGTGCATGCATGCCCAAGATCCTGAGAAGAGAATGGATTGTGGCATGGCCATCCTCCCTGGAGGGTGATTTCTCACTTTCTGTCTCTCTGTCTCTCTCTTTCTGGCAAGCACACACGCCCTATAACAAAAACCTCTCAGAAAACAAACAAACAAGACATTCTTTTCTGGCAGAGTATTACAGTGACTCAGTGGTAATCTTCCAGAGCCAGTCAAGGCCAGTTCTTTTTTTAAAAAGTGCAAGATGGAGTAATCCAAGCCTCCTGCATTAATACTTTTTTTTTTTTTGGGAGAGGTTTTTGCCATACGGCGCGTGTGTTCACCAGAAAGACAGAGACAGAGAGATAGAAAGCGAGAAATCACCCCCCAGGGGGGATGGCCACGCCACAATCCCTTCTCCTCCATTTTCCTCTTGAGATCTTGGGCACACACGCACACGCGCCCGGCGTGAGTTTTAAGCCACCGGGTTTGGGACGCAAACCGCAGTCGACTACATGGGAGTCCAGTGACATAGCCATTACGCTAACTGCTGGTCCCCTGCATTAACACTTTTCTGCACATCATTGTTCTCTTTGAGTAAGCACATAGGAGAATATGAGCCAGCCTGTTCATTAGTGAGAATTGTAACTATGGTATCCTTCATCTAAATTGGAAATTGGTATTTGGGGAAATTTAATTTATTTGCATTTGTATCTAGTACAATTTAACCTTTTTTTTTTTACTATATTTACAGACTTGTACAGCCATCAGAATTTTAGAAAAAATAAGGAATGCCTCACATATTTGCATGTCATCCTTGTTTGGAACTATGCTAATCTAATAATGCTCTATAGAATGAAGAACAATGGTGAATTTTTGGAATGTAATAACCACTCAGTAGTTGGTCATACTGATATTGAAATCAAATGTTGAGAATCTCACATTCTTTGTTTTTTTAAAATAATTGTTTTACTTATTTATTTTAATTTTACCAGAGAGGAATAGAGCAAGAGAAAGAGAGAGGGAAAGTGAGAAAGCAAGCCACCAAGTCCAGGACTCAGACCATTGTTGGCCATGTGGGAGTCCAGCACCCTTAACCATCACACCACTTGCTGGCCCCTCATATTTTTTTTTTAATATAAAACTTCATCTTTATTTATTTATCGCTATAGGACACTTGCTTGCTGGAGATAGTGAGAGAGAGAAATTGCGAAAGCTCTCCCCAAGGGCATTAGCCACACTGCTGTCCCTTCTCTTCCATTCTCCTCTAGGGATTTTAGGCGTGCATGCACATGCACTTGGCATGTTTTCTTTTTCTTTCTTTCTTTTTTTTTTAGAGAGATTTTTGCTATATGGTGTGTGCACTCACTGGAAATACAGAGACAGAGAGACAGAAAGCAAGAAATCACCCGCCGGGGGATAACCATGCTGCAGTCACTTCTCCATTCTCCTCTTAGGATTTTGAGCACACACACACACACGTGCACGTCCAGCATAAGTTTTAAGCTGCTGAGTCTGAGACGTGAACCATGGTTGACTACATGGGAGTCCAGCAACGTAACTATTACATCATCTGCTGGTCCCGACCTGGTATGTTTTTCAAGTCACTGGGTCCAAGTGTTGAACTGCCCAGTTGGCCATGTGCAGTTAAGTCCGTCTTAACTGCAATGCAACAGGGTGACCCACACCAAAGCATTTTTTAAAAGTTTTATTCCAAAACAGGATTATGGAATGATTCACTCTTCTCTTCTTTCCTAGAAATCAGGAAAGGTGATGGTTGTCTGCAGTGTAACTTGCAAAATCAAAGCATTCAGAAGAGTGTGGAACAATGCTGTGAGCATAATGTGTTTGGAAATGTTGCTAATCAAAGCAAAATTCATTTCTGGTTAAAGCAAAATCATGATGTGTTTGACTTACATGAAAAACCTTTAAAGTCACATTTAAATTTTGAATGTCAGAACAGAAGCTGTGACTTAAAGAACTCTGCTGAGTTTAATGGAAATGGGAAATCCCTTCTCTATACTAACCATCAACAATTTTATACTGAAATTAAATTCCCTGTAAGTGCAAAACCCATCAACAGTGAATCCCAGGTCAGTAAGCAACAGAAAACTAACAACATAGAGAAAGCCTATGTGTGTAGTGAATGTGGTAAAACCTTCATCAAAATGTCTCAGTTCACTGATCATCAGAAAGTTCATACTAGAGAAAAACCTCATGGATGCAGTTTGTGTGGGAAGGCATTCTCTAGAAAATCCAGGCTAACAGAACATCAGAGAAGTCATAGAGGACTGAAACACTATGAATGCACTGAATGTGACAAAACCTTCCTCAAGAAATCACAGTTCAATATACATCAAAAAACTCATATGGGAGAGAAACCTTATGCATGTAGTGAATGTGGGAAAGCCTTCATCAAAAAATGCCGGCTAATTTATCATCAGCGAACTCACACAGGAGAGAAACCCCATGTATGTAGTGCATGTGGGAAAGCTTTCTCTACAAAGTTCAGTCTCAGTACACACCAAAAAACTCATACAGGAGAGAAACCTTACACATGTAGTGAATGTGGAAAAGGCTTCATTGAAAAGAGACGTCTTATTGCACATCAACGAACTCATACTGGTGAAAAACCCTTTATATGTAATAAATGTGGGAAAGGCTTCACTTTAAAGAATAGTCTTATCACACATCAACAAACTCATACAGAAGAAAAATTATATACATGCAGTGAATGCGGAAAAGGCTTTTCAATGAAGCACTGCCTGATTGTACATCAGCGAACTCATACTGGAGAGAAACCTTACATATGCAATGAATGTGGCAAAGGCTTCACCTTGAAGAGCCCTCTCATCAGACATCAGCGAACACACACAGGAGAGAAACCCTACATATGCACTGAATGTCGAAAAGGCTTCACTATGAAGAGTGACCTCATTGTACATCAGCGAACTCATACTGCAGAGAAGCCATACATCTGCGATGATTGTGGAAAAGGCTTCACTGTAAAGAGCCGTCTGATTGTACATCAGCGAACTCATACAGGAGAGAAACCCTATGTATGTAGTGAATGTGGAAAAGGCTTTCCAGCAAAGATCCGGCTGATTGGACATCAGCGCATTCATACAGGAGAGAAACCTTACGTGTGTAGTGAATGTGGAAAAGGCTTTACTGAGAAGAGTCATCTCAATGTACACCGGCGCACTCATACCGGAGAGAAACCCTACATATGTAGTGAATGTGGTAAGGGCTTAACTGGGAAAAGCATGCTCATTGCACACCAGCGAACTCATACTGGGGAAAAACCATATATATGCAATGAATGTGGAAAGAGCTTCACCATGAAGAGTACTCTAGGTATACATCAGCAAACACATACTGGAGAGAAACCATACAAATGCAACGAATGTGGTAAAGCCTTCAGGAAGAAGACATGCCTCATACAGCATCAGAGATTTCACACAGGAAAGACTTCCTTTGCATGCACTGAATGTGGAAAATTCTCTTTGCGCAAAAATGACCTCCTTACCCATCAAAGAATTCACACAGGAGAGAAACCATATGAATGCAGTGAATGTGGAAAAGCCTTCACTACAAAGTCAGGGCTCAATGTTCATCAAAGAAAACATACAGGAGAGCGACCTTATCGATGTATTGAATGTGGGAAAGCTTTTGCTCACTTGTCAATCCTTGTAAAACACAAGAAAATTCACAGGTAGTTATTTTGAGAAAGTTTATTGCTAGTTGTAGATTGTCAAGATATGGTTGTATTAGCAAAGAGGAATAACAAGAAATGCATGGTATGTGATCACACATGTAGTGATCAGTTACCTGATTTTTCTTAAAGAATTAATTTACTTAATTCTGTTTATTATTTTTAAGAATTATTTAACTTTATTCATTTATTTATTTAAATTTGACTGGAGAGGGACAGAGCAAGAGTGAGAGCAACAGAGAGAGGGGGAAAGTGAGAAAGCAAGCAGCCTTGTCTGAGACTCAAACCACGGTCGACAATGTGGGAGTCCAGCATCCTTAACCACCATACCATCTGCTGGCCCCTGTTACCTCATGTTTTATGTCAAAGAAATTTGTACAAAATAACTGATCCAATCAGCCTTGATGAAAATACTTTAGGACATTATATGTCTAAAAAATGTATACTGAAAAAAAATCCCATAAATGTGATAGACTATGAAAGCTTTCAGTAAGAAAATAGACACTTCTTATAAGTGATCATCATAGATCAGTAATGAACACTAATTGGAAGAAGGTAATAATTATGGGAAAGCGTCTGACCAGAAATAAAACCTCAGTAGATTGAGGGAGTTCACACTAGAGAAATACTTTCCTATAGCAATGAATATAGCAGGGTTTGCAATCAGTTTTTTTCCTCACTCTTTGCAAGAAAATAATATAAAATAAAACTTATTAACACATCTACTGTAGAAGACCTTTAGAAAACTATCAGATAGGGACCAGCAGTTAGCATAACGGCTATGTCGCTGGACTCCCATGTAGTCGGCTGTGGTTCAAGTCCTGGACCTGGTGGCCTAAACTCATGCCAGATGCGTGTGCATGCATGCCCAAGATCCCAAGAGGAGAATGGAGGAGAAGGGATTGTGGCGTGGCCATCCCCCCAGGGGATGATTTCTTGCTTTCTATCTCTGTCTCTCTCTTGTCTTTCTGGCGAGTGCATGTGCCCTATAGCAAAAACCTCTCAAAAAAAAAAAAAAATATATATATATATATCAGATAACTTTAGGAAGGAATAAAGCCTTGGCAAAATGATGAATGAGAGCTTCTTTCACAAGTCTGACCTTAATACACCTCATGTGCATTTGGGAACACAACACCTTGAGCCATAGGTCTAGTGAACTTGTCACTGAATTTTTTTTTTTTTTTTTTTGCCAAGTGGGGCCAGCAGGTGGTGTGTTGGTTGGGATGCTAGACTCCCATATGGTTGACCACAGTTCAAGTCCCAGACCTGGTGGCTTGCTTTCTCATTTTCCCCCTCTGGTGAACACACATGCCGTATAGCAAATTAAAAATATTTACAATTATGGGCCGGCAGGTCGTGTGGTGGCTAAGGACGCTGGATTCCCATATGGCCGACTGTAGTTCAAGTCCTGGACCTGGTGGTTTTCTTTCCCCCTCTCCCTTTCTCTGTCTCTCTCTCTCTCATCAGATTAAATCATAAGTAGAATTAAGATATATATATATATATATATAATTATTTTTAAAAATGAAGGGGCCACAGGACCAGCAGTTAGTGTAATGGCTATGTCGCTGGACTCCCATGTAGTTGACCACGGTTCAAATCCCGGACCTGGAGGCTTAAAACCCACGCCGGGCGCATGTACGTGCATGCCCAAGATCCCGAGAGGATAATGGAGAAGGGATTGAGGCATGGCCATCCCCCCTGGGGGGTGATTTCTCACTTTCTGTCTCTCTGTCTTTCTGGCAAGCGCATGCACCCTATAGCAAAAACCTCTCAAAAAAAAAAAAGGGGGGGGCAGCAGATGGCATAGTGGTTATGTCACTGGGCTCTCACATGGGCAACTATGATTCTAGTCCTGGCTTGAAACTCATGCTGGGCATTTGTGTGTGTATGCCCAAGATGCTAGGAGGAGAATGGAGAAGGGATTGTGGCATGGCGATCCTCCCTAGGGGGGTGATTTTTTACTTTCCCTCATTATCTCTGTTTCTCTCTCTGGCAAGAGCACATGCCCTATGGCAAAAACCTCTCTCTCTCTTTCTCTCTCTCTCTATATATACACATATATGTGTGTGTGATATATATATATATATATATATCACACACACACACTTTTTTTTTCTCTCCCCCAAAGGGTATATGCTCTCATCAGAGACAGGCAGGGGTAGAGTAAGAAAGTAACCCAATGGAGCATGGCCATGCCACATTCCCTTCTCATCCATTTCTCCTTCCATTCAGGATTTGGGCATGCATCCACAAGCACCTTTATCCACATAGTATAAGTACACTCTTTAAAGAGAATAGAGACAGACAGAGAATGTGAGAAATCATCCTCCAGGATGGCCACACTGCAATCCCTTCTCCTTCATACTCCTCTTGGGATCTGGGGCAGACCCGTACACGTGCTGGACCTGATATTTAAGCCACTGGGTCTGGGACTCAAAACCACAGTGAGCCATGTGAGAATCTAGTGGCCTTAACCATTATGGCACATGCTGTCCCCCACCCCCAGTGTGTTTTTCAAGCCACCAAGTCTGAAATTAAAACAGCATTGTCAGTGGGACCAGTAGTTAGCGTAATGGCTATGTCGCTGGACTCCCATGTAGTCGACCACAGTTCAAGTCCCAGACCCGTTGGCCTAAACTCACGCCGGGCACGTGTGCGTGCGTGCCCAAGATCCCAAGAGGAGAATGGAGGAGAGGGGATTGCAGCGTGGCCATCCCCCCTGGGGGGTGATTTATCGCTTTCTGTCTCCCGGTCTCTCTCTGTCTGTCTGGCAAGAGCACGCGCCCTATAGCAAAAAAAAAACAAAACAAAAAAAACAGCATAGTCAGTCACATAGGAACCAGCTGCCTGAACCACATGCCACCAGTTGGCCCTCACTGATTTTGTGCATTTTAAATTGTAGCATTTTCTTTCATTACAGGTTATTATTATTATTTTTGGGGGGGAGAGGTTTTTGTTATAGGGCACATGCACTGGCCAGAAAGACAGAGAGATAGAAAGCGAGAATCACCCCCCAGGGGGGATGGCCACGCCACAATCCCTTCTCCTCCATTCTCCTCTCGGGATCTTGGGCACACACACACACACATGTGCCCAGTGTGAGTTTAAGCCACCAGGTCCGGGACTCAAACCGCAGTCAACTACATGGGAGTACAACGACATAGCCATTATGCCAACTGCTGGTCCCAAGAGAGAGATTTTTGTTTTAGGGAGCATTCACTTTCCAGAGAGACAGCAAGAAATTACTCCACGGGTGGATGGCCACACCATAGTACTTTTTTCTTCATTTTCCTCTCAGGATTTTGGGTGCACATGTGCCTGGTGTGAGGTTTTTTTTTTTTTTTCAGCGAGGTTTTTGCTATAGGGTACGTGTGCTCGCCAGACAGAGACAGAGAGATAGAAAGCGAGAAATCACCCCACCCCCCCGAGGGGATGGCCACACCACAATCCCTTCTTCTCCATTCTCCTCTCGGGATCTTGGGCACGCACGCACATGTGCCCGGCGTGAGTTTAAGCCACCAGGTCCGGGACTCGAACTGCGGCCGACTACGTGGGAGTCCAGCAACATAGCCATTACGCTAACTGCTGGTCCCCTGGCATGAGTTTTAAACTGTGAGTCTGGGAATTGAACCATGGTCAATTGTGTGGGAGTCCAGCTACATAACCATTATGCAATCTGCTGGTCCCTTTGATTTGTATATATTGTTCAAGAGGTTTTTGATATTTTTTTCAAACAGTCTCACTTTGTTGCCCACATTGGCCTTGAAGTTATGATCCCAGCCTCCTAAACAGCTGGGATTATAGGTGTGTGCGACTATGCCCAGCTTGAGTTTAAGAAATTGTATCACAGGGCCCACAGATTGCAAGGTGGTAAAAGTGCTGGACTTCCATACGGCCAACTGCAGTTTGAGTCCCAGGCCTCCTGGCAGCTTTGTTTTTTCTCTCTTTTTTTTTTTTTTTGTTGTTGTTGTTGTTGTTGTTGGAGAGGTTTTTACTACAGGGTGCATCCACTCGCCAGAAAGACAGAGAGCCAGAAAGCAAGAAATCACCCCCCAGGGGCAATGGCCACACCGCAATCCCTTCTCCTCCATTCTCCTCTCGGGAACTTGGGCACACATGCACATGCACCTGGCATGAGTTTAAACCACCAGGTCCCAGACTCGAACTGCGGTCAACTATCTGGTAGTCTAGCAACATAGCCATTATGCTAACTGCTGGTCCCCCAGCTTTGCTTTCTCACTGTCCTGTTTCTCTCTGGTGAGTGCACACGTCCTATAGCAAAATTTTAAAATAGTGATAATAATAGATAAAATTACTTAATTCTTTAAAAAAGAAATTCTGTCATAGGGCCAGTGGGTGGTGTGGAGGTTAAAGTGGCTGGATCCCACATGGCTGGCTGCATAGTTTCAGTCTTGGATGCTATGGCTTGAAAATCATGCGAGGCACCTGTGTGTGTGCGTGCATCCAAAATCCCAAGAGAAGACTGGAGAAGAAAGGATTGGGATGTAGCCATCTCCCCTGGAGGGTGTTTCTTACTTTCCCCCTGTCTCTCTATGGCAAGCACCCATGCCCTATAGCCAAAACTAAAAAACAAAAAAAAAAAAATCCCAAGAAATTCTATCTCACATAGCCACATGTAATCACAATCAAAATTCAGATTGCAGGACCAGCAGGTGGCATGGTGGTTAAGGTGCTGGACACTCCCACATGGCTGACCCTGGTACGAGTCCCATACCTCGTGGCTTGCTTTCTCACTTTCCCTCTCTCTCTCTCAGTGTCTCTCTCTGGTCAAATTAAAATAAATGAATGAGGGACCAGCAGTTAGCATAATGGCCATGTCGCTGGACTCCCACGTAGTCAACCGCGGTTCGCGTCCTGGACCCGGTGGCTTAAAACTCACACTGGGTGCGTGTGCGTGCGTGCCCAAGGTCCAGAGAGGAGAATGGAGGAGAAGGGATTGTGGTGTGGCCATCCCCCCTGGGGGGTGATTTCTCGCTTTCTATTTCTCTCTGTCTGGCGAGCGCATGCACCCTATAGCGAAAACCTCTCGAAAGAAAGAAAGGAAGGAAGGAAGGAAAGGAAGGAAGGAAGGAAAGAAGGAAGGAAGGAAGGAAGGAAAGAAAGAAAGAAAAGAAAAGAAAGAAAGAAAGAAAGAAAGAAAGAAAGAAAGAAAGAAAGAAAGAAAGAAAATTAATTCTTTAAAAAAAAAAATCCAGATTGCTATCCAAATGCTATCATGCTACTACTTTATAGTCATGCTTTTTTCCCAGTCCTAACACTTGGGAATTACAAATTTGTTCATCTCTTTAATTTTATTTATAGAATACTGTAAAAATGGAACCATACAGCATGTACTCTCTGAGATTAGCTATTTGAAGTTAAGCAAATTAACTTAAGATCCATCCAAGTTGTGGGATCAGCAGATGGTATAATGGTTGTGTTGCTGGATTCCCACATGGCCGACCATGGTTCGAGTCCTGGACCCAGAGGCTTGAAACAACACTGGGGGTGTGTGTGTATGTGTACCCAAGTTCCTAGGGGAAGAATGTAGAAGGGATTATGGTGTGGCCATCATTCTGGGCGGTGATTTCTCGCTTTCCATCTTTCTGGCGAGCACACACACCCTATAGCAAAAAAAAAATCCCTTTTTAAAAAGATAATTTGTCAAGTCCCAGAGCCAAGGCTCAAACCCCACACACCCAAGATCCCAAGAGAAGGGACTAAGAGACTGCAGCATGGCCATCTACTCCCAGGTGGGGTGATTTCTCACTTTCTGTCTCACCTGTAAGCACATGCACCCTGTAGCAAAAAAAACAAACAAACAAACTCTCAAAAAAAAAAAAAATAGGCAAGCAGAGATCCTACAAGAGACCCAGAAGATGATCCCAGATTGCCAGTGCAAGTTGGAAGCTGCATATACAGATCTTAAGCAGATATTAGAAAATGAAAAAGATTTGGAGGAAGCTGAAGAATATAAAGCACATTTAGTACTGGATTCAGTGAAATTAGAAGCTGAAATTTTTCTGTACAGGGGGCTTTTTGTATTCAGTCATGGGGTCCATGAGGCAATTCATTAGTTTTGACCACTGCTGTGTGTTCAAGTAATTTGCGAAAGTGATTGTTTTTATACCATTCATATATCTTCCTTTGCATAACGTGTCAAATAAATGAGTTTGTCGAATAAAAAAAAAAAAAAGCTTGTGGGGCCAGCAGGCATAGATATTGTGGTGTTGGACTACTACACAGCCAGCCATGGTTCAAGTCCCAGACCCAGTGGCTTGAGATTCACACTGGTACATGTAGCATGTGTGCCCAAAATCCCGAGTAGAATGGAGGAGAAGGAATTGTGGCATGCCATCCCTCTGGGGGATGATTTCTTGCTCTCTGTCTCTCTGGTGTGTACACACCCTGTAGCAAAAATCTCTCTAAGATTAAAAAAAAAAAATCAACTTGTCAATATCTACAAAGAGTGCTGGGATCTGGGATTTGTGTTAGATGTGCATTAAATCTGTAGATTAAACTGGGAAGACCAACACCTCAAAAGTAGTGGGAGTGGGCCAGCAGGTGGCATGGTGATTAAGGTGCTGAATCCCACATGGCTGGCTGAATGGTCTGAGTTCTGGATTGGGTGGCTTGAAAAACATGCCGGGTGCCACAGGTCCAATATCGAGTAGAGGGGAGCGCAGTGTGGCCATCCCCCCCTGAGGAGGAAGGGTACTTTCTCACTATCTCTTCTCTTGTACATGCCCTACAGCAAACTAAAAGACAAATTAGTTCCCCACACATTTTGTACTGGAGAATAGAATTTCAGTTCTTACAACTTTATATTCATAATTTATGTATTATACTATTTACCAGTAAGTGTTCGACTCGGTGATGTTTAATAAATTTATAAAGGTGTGCCACTATTACTATCAAATTTTTAGAAGTTTCATGACTGCCCCCCACAAAGAGTAATTGGACAGTTTTGTTGAGTTTTGGGAGTTCTTTATTCTTTTTTTTTTTTTTTTGGAGAGGTTTTTGCTATAGGGCGCGTGTGCTCACCAGACAGACAGAGAGATAGAAAGCAAGAAATCACCCCCCAGGGGGGATGGTCACGCCACAATCCCTTCTCCGTTCTCCTTTCAGGATCTTGGGCACGCACGCACACGCGCCCAGCATGAGTTTAAGCCACTGGATCTGGGACTCGAACCTCCCTGGACAACGTGGGAGTCCAGCAACATAGCCATTACGCTAACTGCTGGTCCCGGAGTTCTTTATTCTGAATATAAGTCTTTTATCAGATAAATATCTCCCATTCTGTGGCATCTTTTCTCACTTTCTTAAATGTGGTCTTTGAAAGCCCGGTTTTGTTTTTTTAATTTGGTCCTGCTTATGATTTTTATTTCCTTTTATGTCTCATCCTTCCCTAGCTTGTCTCTGAACTAGCCTACCTTCTTGAAGATTATCTTCCGTTTTCTTCTCTAAATTTTATACTTTTAGCTGTTAAACTTAGGTCTATGATCCATTTTAGAGGGTTTTTTTGGTGTGTACAGTTTAAAAGTCTTGACTCATTTTTCTGCATGTGGATATCCATTTATTCTAGGGCCCTTTGTTGAAAGACTCTTCGCAGAATTGTTTTGGCACCTTCTGTCAAGGAGCCCCTTACCTTAATATTTTTGGACTCTAAATTTGGGGTCCGCCATTCCTCTTGTCTCCAGACCTTTACTAGCCTCATTTCTAGCTCAGAGGCCGCAACCCGAACGGCGACTTAAGGTTCCTCGCTGGCCGTCCTTCCCCCGACTGTGGCGGGCATCCCCCCCCCGACTGTGGCGCCACCCCACGCCGCTCCCGCGTCGGGAAGCCTCGAGAGCCGCTTCCTTCAAGTTATTTTCCAGACGCTCTCCACGGGTGTCCGCTTCCCGAGTGTTACCTTTTCCTTTCTAGGAGCGCCTTCTCCGCTATCCTACTGGTCCTCTCCCACCACCACGTTTTATCTTTTTAACAAAACGGATAAATAATGGCCGCAGCCACGTTACCTTCCTTCCCGGCCCGCTAAACGCAATTTAACCGCCGCACATTTGCCCTGTAAACCGCCGGTCTTAAGAGTCGTCGGGAGTTTCCGGAAACGAGGCAAACCCGACGTCCCGCCCCCTTCCGGGGCGGCCCAGCTCCAGCCGCCCGACGCCGTCACCGGGCCGGGTTCGTCCGCCTTCCCGACGCGGCCGCGGGACCTTCCGGAAATGCCCGAAGCCCGAGGGCCGCGTTCCGTCAAAGCGTTCAGATCCTCCCCGGCCGCCGTAGGCGCCCCGAGGCCGGGGTGGAGGGGCCAGCGGCGGGGCGCCC